GTTACTCGAATAAACCAGGTTGGGTGAAAAGAAAAAGAATTATGAGGAGCTTATCAGTCCCTCTTCAGGAAAACTGTTATACTCCTCTTTCAACAGCAGGTGGTGGTGTAAGCTTATTTATACCAGTAGGAGTCTATGACAACTTCCTGTGGCTCGTTCAGTTGACATCCGGTTGTTAGCCGTTAGCTTTAGAATTAGCATCGGCAAAACTCGGTCAAATCAACATTTCTGAACGGATTTAAAGCTAAAACGTGGCGTTGTTTTAAAAAGCACGTCTTTTATGCATGAAACATGAGTTTTGTGGGAACAGTGGCGGCTCCATTTAGCGATTTTAAACACAGTGGAGGCTTCGGTTGAACCGAGACTCATTTCCAGGGTCACGTGACTGAATCAACCAATGGTCAGAGACAACAGCGGGGGTGGGTTTTACAACCTGACATCAGAGGAAGTGACGACAGACACGTCACTCGTCTCTCAGCGAATCAGAGCTACCCAAACAGCGGTTTTCAACCAATGACGCATCGTCATTCTTGCTATCTTTGTTAGCATTAGCCTGAAAAAGTCCGGTCAACTTTCGTCCATTAACTTCTCAAAATGTACGATTTTACTGTTACAGATGTAACGAAGCACTTAACAGTGATCTGAGACTGAGCCCAGCTTTTAAAACAGCGTTTATCCATTCAACACGACTCGTTCGAACGAATCAGAACCGAGTCCGACAGCCGAAACGGGTCAGAACCCCCGTCCCTCTCTGCGACAGTTTAACAGAATAAAGCGTTTTACCACAAACCCAGCTTCAGTTACACAACCGAAGTACAAATTTCAGCTTTTAATGAACACCTTGACGTTACTTTCAGCTCTAAAACAGTGTTGTTCTTAGACTCATCCGAGCCGTTCTCTAGAACTGAACCACACAGCTGATAGATTAGAAAGCTGCACTTTTCATGCCAACATTCAGTTCACGTATTAACACAGACTCCGTCACATTTAACTCACGCCTCTTCAAACATTCGTACGGCCACGAAACGTTCAAATGGCGGATATCGGGTCACGAGGAGCTCTTTAGAGACCTGTACCGGCCACCAGAATGTAGTGAGATAGGTCGGTTAGCTTCGTTTAGCTTCGGAGCTCCACTACACGTTATAATATCTGGACTAGTTCAAGTACCTGATATTATACTTAATTTAAACGGGTTCTCTCTTTTTCGAGCTACTTGACAGATATGTGACAGAGATACTGTGTGGGAGATGGTTTAATCAGTGACGTGAGACGTTAAGTTTCTTTGACCCATCAAAATGAATGTGGTCATTTATTAACAGAATCAAAATTTAACATCAAACATTGTACACGTGATTATTCTGATTGTACTCAATAACACATTTTAATTAATGAGCTTTACAATGAGAAACCATACGGCCATGGTATCTCACTGATAGAAGATAGAAGAGTTTTAAAGATGGGAAATGAGGGAGTTTAAATGGAGAGAGATGGTGTGTGAGGGAAAATGTGTCGACGAAGAATGGCACCCTCCATTCGAACCCAGCTCTACCTCGGTACACTTCGGTAGTGGAAATCGACTCTTTACCTGTAGAAGATGTCTCCACTGGTACGGAGTTCCATTTAACCCTACCTTTCCAGCGTCCCCGTAGGATAGCAGAGAACCGTCCGGAGTAGTGACGGTACTTCGTTCAACAGCAGCTCACCTCACGGGTGGACTCACATGAGCTGTGAGTCCGTCAGAGGTTCCACTCAGATGTGGAAGATTCCATAATCCCCACGAGACTCGGAACTTTGTGCTTCCTTCTGGAACTTTGTCCTGCGTAGTTCCCGTTGTTCTGCGTTCTGCATTCTGCTTGGAACTAGGAAGTGTTGACCCTTTTAAAGAGGTCAGTTCCCGTTCCTCTGAGAACTTCCTGATTGGTTGAAACGAACCAACAGGGGTGTGGTCTTAGTGACTTAAGAGGGTCATTAAAAGTCAAGGAGACAGAGTAGATTGTTAAGAACAGATAGAAAAATGTTTTGAAGAACAGAGACTTTTTGGAGCCAGTCTTCCTTCTATCTGTCTGATAGAGATAAACATGACATTTCTTTCCAGTAAACATGTTTTTGACCGTTCCTTCACTTTTGACTGACTTACAACTTGCACATTTCAGACAGAAAATCAAAAATGCATCATTACTCTTGTAACAGACATTAACTTGATTTCTACTTTGAATGAGGATTAAAAATCATTAATACTGTTTCACAGTTGATTTAAAATGAGTAGTTCACTTCAACATTTAAAATGGTTTGAACTAAACACACTTTTGATTATCAAGATATTGTAAAATAGTAATGATAATAAAAAGAGAGTGTTCTTTCAATTGATCAGTGCAGGATACAATTAGAAAGTCTCTGGATGAACTTAATTTGTGTTTCTGGACTCAAATCAATGAAATAACAGTTCTTGTCCCAGGAAGGCCCTCAGGGCCAGATTTTGACCTGAGGCTTAGTTCACTACAAGGGCACCACTTGTAAACCTAGAATGGGATTAGGTATAGCATGGATCTCATTAGCTTAGCTTCATGGCTGCTAACAGCTACACTCAATAAACAAGCCCCGCTCCACTCACTGTTTTCTTAGATTCTTGGGGGTGGACAAAGCTGAAAAATTTCCAGCCCTTATATTCATTCATTCAACCTTAATTTAGACAGGTTAATCCCATAGAGCCTCGAGGACTCATTTACAAGAGAGACCTGATTTCAACAAAGAAAGATGACAACAATGGACAACAGCGACAACAATAAACAGTTATAAAAGAACAGATTACAGTTTAAAAAAACAAAACAAATTAAAATAAGATGGCAAAAAAAGTAACAAAAACAGCTAGATTATAAGGCGTATGTAGAAAACTAAAAACAGGAACATGTCAGCATTGGTTCTTGCCAGGAGTCCAACAGATGTTTGAAGCCACATAGAGAGGTCAAGGTCGAGAACTTCAGATCTTTTTACAAAATATTCCAAGAAACAGGAGCGGAGTAGGAGAAGGTCTTTTGCCAAGTTCAGTCCTCACTGAGGGAACACTGCAGGTAATAATGTCCTGAGAGCGCACGCTGTAGCTGCACTCACGCAGAGACATGTAGGAGGAGATGTATGAAGGCAGCAGACCAAGAAGTGATTTAAAGATGAAAATGTACCAGTGAGAGAGTCTGTGTGAAGTTAATGATGTCCAGTTAACCAGTAGACAGCATCCAACATTCCAACGTTCATGTAAATAATGTCACCGTAATCAGTGGAGGGAAGGAAAGTCACAGTTACAAGGTGTTTCCTAGCATTCAGAGTTAGACAGGATCTATTTCTGAAAAAGAAACCCAGTTTAACTTTCAGTTTCTTTACTGTTTTCCACATGGAGCTTAAAAGAGAGATGATATTGTTTATCGGTGGGAGTCTTCCCCTCCTAATATCGGTATTGACGATAGCTAAAATTTCCATATTGATCGGGCTCTAGTATAAACTGTTTAAAAATGTGAATAATGGAAAAAGAAATAAATAAAAAGATTTGCTGTGTAGTGAACTAAGCCTCAGGTCAAAACCTGGACCTTCGTGGGACAGGAACTGTTATTTCATTGATTTGAGTCCAGAAACACAGATAAAGCTCATCCAGGGACTTTCTAGGTGTGTCCTGCACTAATCAATTGAAAGAACACTCTCTTTCATATTATCATTACTATTTTACAAATGTCTTGATAATCAAAAGTGTGTTTAGTTCAAACCATTTTAAATGTTGAAGTGAACCACTCATTTTAAATCAACTGTGAAACAGTATAAATGATTTTTAATCCTCATTCAAAGTAGAAATCAAGTTAATGTCTGTTACAAGAGTAATTATGCATTTTTTTGATCTTCTGTCTGAAATGAGCAAGTAGTGAGTCGGTCAAAAGTCAAGAGAACGGTCAAAAACATGTTTATCGGAACGAAATGTCATGTTTAACTCTCACAGACAGATAGAAGAAGACTGGCTCCTAAATGTCTCTGTTCTTCAAAACATCTTTCTGTCTGCTCCAAAACATTTCTCTGTTTGTTCCAAAAACATTTCACTGTCTCCTTGACTTGTAATAACCCTCTTACGTCACTAAAACCACACCCCTGTTGGTTCTTTCAACCAATCAGGAAGTTCTCAGAGGAACCGGAAGTGACCTCTTTAAAAGGGTTGACACTTCCTAGCTCCAAGCAGAACAAGTTCCAGAGGAGAACAAGTTCCAGAGTGGAACAAGAGTTCCAAGAAGAACAACGTTCCAGACATGAACCAAAGTTCTTCTGAGTCTCGTGGGAATTATGGAATCTTCCACATCTGAGTGGAACTCTGACGGGCTCACAGCTCATGTGAGTCCACCTGGGAGGTGAGCGGGCTGTTGAACGAAATGATCTCACGACTCCTGAGGTCACAGCTGTCCTTACGGAGACGCTGAAAAGCGTTGAAAGGCAACTCTACACCGAGGCCGAACTATCGTCTGCAAAGGTAAAGAGTCGATCTTCAACTGCGAAGTGTACCGTGGATTGAGCTGCGTCCAAAGGAGCGTGTTGTTTCTGGTTATAACAGACACATTCCCTCACCCATCTCTCTCCATTTAGACTTCATTTTCCCATCTTTAAAACTCTTCTATCTGCCAGTAATTAATCCAGATATTTTCAGAAATGTCTGTTGGTTTCAAAAGCTGCAAGTGAGAAAATCATGGCCGTATGATTTTCTCAGTGCAAAGCTCATTAATTAAGCTGTGTTATTGTAATCAATCTGCCAATTATTGTAAATGTGTGATGTGTTTAAATCGTTTTAATAAACGACCCACTGTTGTTGGTGAGTCAGAAATTAAAACACGTTTCCGTCCACATTTAATATTCAAAACACGATAGTACTCAGTCCAGAAAAATGAAAGAATCCGTTTAAATTATGGATAATATCAGACAGGTATCATTCATTACAGCTGATAATAGCTACAATTAGGAGCTGGGTCTGGTCTTACCGGGCTCTGTCCTGCTGGAGGCCACAGGCATGGCAGAACTTCAGTCGATCTGAGAGACACAGAAAGAGGGGAAACACCTTTTTTTAAATCCCCAACAAACAAAACAGGTGAATATAAATATATGTAAATATCTTAACAGTTTGTAACAAAATATGTTGAAACAATCAGTCAAATCTGATAATTAACTACTATTTTATTCAATCCAATATGGTGCACAATTTTCTCACGTTAAAGTGTATAATTTGTGAAGTCCAATATTTACTCTGTCACCATTACCAAATCATTTTGTCTATTTAAAACTTTTATTTATTTTTTTATTTTTTTATGTAAACACAGGTACATTTTCCCTTAAATGTTCCAGGGACTGTACAGTCAACTACAACTAGTTCTATAAACACTAACAACTTTAGCTTGTAATATATTTATTTTAAAAAGTACTTTAAATCTTTTTCCAATTATTGTACACACTACAGTACAATTTCTACAGCAGTTTACCACTGCACATTCTTCTTATACAAAGAAAAGCCAACTACAGTGTCTTGAATGATACGTTTAACATGCCTCCCCCGTTTAACATTTTAATTTCTGACTGACAGTGTACTTCTCAACTTTTGGATGTCTCTGTGAAAAAAAACTTCAGCTGACTGTGTAATCTAAAAGTGGGAATGGGTGAGTTTGTTTGTTAGTTTCTGGAGCTAGCATGCTAGTGCTAGTCTCCAGGTTATTATAAAGATACATCCATCTTTACCCGCTTCTTCCATTTTGGGTCACGGGTTGCTGGTGCCCATGTCCGGCAATCACTGTGGGAGGGGTGGGGTACACCCTGGATGGATTGCAAGTCCATCACAGGGACACATAGAGACAAACAACCATTCACTCACACCTAAATGTCACGGTCAGCAGCCCCCGCTGCCCCCCCCATCTGCCTAAGCCTCTGCCTTCTCCTTCAAGCTGCAACCAGGAACCAACATTTATATCTTCAAACAATCATCCCACAAACTAAATCATTTCCTTCCATTTCTAGGTTCTGTCTCTGTCTGCTCTTTATGTTTTTGTTGTTCTGCTCTGTGTGTGATTTTCTGTTTATCTGATTCTGTTATTCTCCACTCACTCCTCAGTCTGCCTCTCCACTCAATCTTTATCATTCACACCTGTCCCTCATCAGCCACCTGCCCAGGTGCTCTCGTTACTCACTCTCCCTCTGTCTCATAAAAAGCCTGTCTCTCCTTCACTCCTTGTCCGGTGATTGTTCTGTGTTCACAGATGTCTCAGTCCTCCTCTGTCTTGTCAGTTTTTTGTCCCTCTGATGATCTGCTCTGCCTAGTTTCTGATCCTGTCTGCCAAAGTAAGTTTTGCTGCACCGACAGCCTTTTGTTTTGTTATTTAAAATAAATTATTTTTATTTTAAACTCCTGCCTCGCTCGCCTCCCTGCAATTGGGTTCCAACCTCGAGGATCGTGACACCTAAAGACAATTCAGAATTACCAATCAGTCTAACATGCATATTTTTGGTCTGCGGAAGGAAACTGGAGTACCCGGAGAAAACCCACACATGCACGGAGAGAACATACAAACTCCACCCAGAAAGGCTCCTGGACCGGGATTTGAACCAGGGACCTGTTCACTGAGAGATTGAGAGGCAGCAGCTCTACCAGTTGCGTCACCGTGCTCCCCATTATACAGATACAGATATTCTTTATTGTCATTCGTATCACATGTGGTACATGTGGTGGAACGAGATTGTGTACACAGGGTCCCAGTTACATCCAACAATAAAATGTAAAAGAAAAACAGTAATAAGATCTAAGATATGAACTAAGAAAAACATCAGCTAAAAATATGCTAAGCTCTAACATAAAAACAATACGCCAAACAGCAGCACGAACATGAGTCTGTGTGAGCAGATGAGCATGAATGAACACAGCAATATGAAACAGATCAGCAGCAACATGAAACAGATCAGCAGCAACATGATGTTATTTTTCACAGTGATTATCCTGGTTAAATATTCATGAGTCTAACAGCCTCAGGGTAGAAGCTGTTCCTCAGTCTAGTGGTTCTACACTTAATGCTCCTTATTGTATTGGGCTCTGTGATAAATCAGTACTATTGCTACATTTATTTGAAAGTGCTTATAGAAAAATAATTATCAACAATTAATACTTTTCTATACTAAATGTTACTGATGGTATTGTTCTACTATTTCTGAAAACCTGCATTTGTATTGATCTGGATAATGAAAAATAAGCCTCTTGCAATAAATAACTAGGTCCTAGTGTTAACATTGAAGCATTTAAATTGGAAAGTACATTGAAATGGTAAAATGCTATTGCTATATTGTGTGCTAAGATGCAATATTAGGACCTTTAATATTAGGAATATTTAAGAGTACTCAAATAATAAGAGCTTGATTCTACTTATAAAACAAAAAAACAAAACAACTCGGGTGAAGAGAGGAGCTGAGCTGTCAACTGATCACCACCTGGTTGTGAGTTGGATCAGATGGCGGGAGAAGATGCTGGACAGACCCAGTAGACCCAAACGTGTAGTGAGGGTTTGCTGGGAATGCCTGGCAGAAGAACCCGTCAGAAAGATCTTCAACTCACACCTCCGGGAAAGCTTTAATCACATCCCAGCTGAGGCAGGGAACATTGAGTCCAAGTGGGTCATGTTCTGCGACTCAATTGTTGAAGTGGCTGCTTGAGCTATGGCTGCAAGGTTGTTGGTGCTTCTCGTGGTGGCCATCCTCAAACTCGGTGGTGGACACTCCAGGTTAGGAAGGTTGTCAAGCTGAAGAAGGAGTCCTATCGGTCCTTGTTGGCTGGTGGGACTCTGGAGGCAGCTGAGGGAGGCAGGAGGCAGTAACTGAGGGTCAAGTGATCCGCAGTCTTGGCTGTTGTTGAGGCATAAGCTCAGATGTGGGAGGAGTTTGGTGAGACCCTGGATAATGACTCTTGGTCGGCTCCGAGGAGATTCTGGCAAACCATCAGGAGGCTGAGGAGGAGAAAGCAGCTCTTTACTAACACTGTGTTCAGTGAAGGTGGGGTGCTGTTGACCTCAACCAGTGATGTCCTCCTCAACCAATGATGTCCTCCTCAACCAGTGATGTCCTCCTCAACCAGTGATGTTCT